TACTAGTTAAATTCTAATATTCCTTATCTTTTATTTCCTTGAAAGATAATAGTTGGAGAAACTGCTGTGTTTTGCCTACAACTAGCCACAAGGGATTTTGAAAACCAGGAAAAAACTATTTTAACTGGAGACTGTTGCTATATAAACCCACTGGTCCGCCGAACTGTCCGATTTCTTGGTATGTGTTTATTGAATTGTTTTTATTGTTGCTGAAACAATGTTTATGTAAAAGCTAACCTTTAAAATGACTGGTATTTTAACTGAATGCAAATATTAGGTTATCTTTTCTTTGAAATGTTTCAATTTGGTTTTAAAAATAAATGTTACATACTGATATTGCAAGACACCCCTTCAGGATGTCATTTCCACATTACTTCAAGGAAAANAAAAAATGACATTACCCAAACACAGTCTTAGAATATATTTTCTTCTTTTATTTTATGTCTTATAAACCTGCCATGCATACAAATGTAGCCAGTGGTAGACAACTCAATATGTTAAATAATTTAACACTCCCACCACTCCAGAAAGCCAAGGGAAAAACTGGAGAGGAGTGAAATGAAAGGAACCATATGTATATATGTATAGAGTACTTTATAGTTTTCTAAAATATTTCCATTTTGGTTTATTGTAAACTAAAATACAAAAATTAAAAAAATAAAAAAGCAAGAGTTAAAATTGTTTATTTTCTTCCTCAGGAATTTATACATTTGGACTATTTGCTACAGATATCTTTGTAAATGCTGGACAAGTAGTTACAGGGAATCTGGCACCACATTTTCTTGCCCTGTGTAAGCCCAACTACACGGCACTTGGATGTCAGCAGTATACACAGTTCATCAGTGGGGAAGAGGCCTGCACGGGCAACCCCGATCTCATCATGAGAGCAAGGAAAACATTTCCATCCAAAGAAGCAGCTCTCAGTGTCTATGCAGCTATGTATCTGACAGTAAGTACGGATTATAAACCCGGCTTAGTCTGTATTTCTGTTAGTTCTTCCAATGTAGAAATGCTTTTTCCCTGCCATAATGAAAGTCACTTACAGTACATTAACAGCTTTCTTCAGGCCGTTTAATTTATTTTTAATAGTAGCTGTTTGCACTGTGAGTAAAATTAAGTCGGTTGACTCTCATGGGGTTGTGTGTGGGTTGTTGGTTGTATTACAAAATACAGCCATTAGCATTTCTATTTGAAAATATGTTTGTCTTTATGTTAAAGAGGACATGATGGAAACAAATTTCTTTTGCAGCATTCCCCATGAACTTGCAATAGCACAATTAACGGAAATACCCAGGCCTCTTAACTGCTTTCTCAAGCTCGCGTATTCCCTGGCAAGGTTATTGGTAACAATACCATCATCATATTCTCCATCAATGTTTTAATAGTCTCTCATAGGCCAAACGAAATGTCCTTAGAAATTATGTTTTTTTCCTTTATTCTTGAGTTTTTGCCATCATTTTAGTGGTAAGAGCCAGGCCCCTTTAGTGGTAAATGCGGCTATCTTAGGACCTTTCAGTGGAAGTAAGTGATCATAGTTGCGTGCATTACTGACATGCAGCAGTATCAAGAAGGGCAGCCTCGGCAGGCAGCTGTTGACCCCAGCATTCCTGTCTCAGTCTTTCCCTCCATCTTCAGGCTGTCGGGAAGCTATGGAGTCGGGCTCCAAAAGTGTTCTTTGTAGGCTTTTCCATAAACTCCAGTGAGAAGTTCGGAAAATGTAATTGACTTTGGTATTACTCCTTACCAATGGTTCCAATATCTATTCCTTCCAATTTCAGCTCATTGATGAGATTTGTAAAGACTCAAAACCAGTTTGAAGCCAAACTTGATCATTTCTAATGACCTGAAAAAACTCAGGATTATTTTTACCCTCAAAGAGCTTTTTGATAATGGAAATGCTTCTAATGCAATCACATCAGGCTGTAACTAATAGCAGAGAGAATCTATAGCAATACCCCATGTTATCTGTACTTGAGATTGGAAATAAAGATTATTAAATAGAAGGACAATTTAGGAGGGGAAATATACCATTATAAACAACATTCGCAATGACAGGATAATTTTGTAGGCCATTAGAGTATGCATTTTGACATTCTTAAAGTTTTTTTTTTTTTTTTTTTTTTTAAANACTTTTTTTTAACTGACACAATAAAATTTAATATAAATTAAAATTATATAAAAAATTAAAAGTATATTAAATTTAATATAAATTTTTTGATTTATCAGATAAAAGTAAGTATATCTGTATATAATAAGTAACATTTAAGATACATTCTGATCAGTATTGAGACACGGTGAGGATAAAGTAACCCTTCAACGTATTTCTCCTATTGAAGAGATCGAGATGAAGCCTTTGAAGATATTATGCTTAGATGACCTAATCTCTACACAAACCCATTAAAGACTAACCAAGTGTCATCTGGCCTTTACATCTCTCTGAAGACAAAAGGTCTCCATATCCAAGACTGTTCTTTTTATTGCCATCAAGTTATACATCTCCAAAGCCCTCATTTATCCTGTTGAAGGAATGATTTGTGTATGAAACCTTAAAAGGTTACTCTTCACATGCATTAATAACAGTTTTCTTGATTCATTTCTCTTTGTTTGAGAGTCATTTAATAACAAAATAAGCAATAGCAATAATATACTCAGAACTAAAAGTATTTGATAAAATTGATGCTTTCCTAAATACTGTTAAGCAAATTATATTGTGCCTATTTAAGTAAAATATTTTTCTGTATTTGTACACATATTTCTAAATAATGTTTCAAAGTAAAGTGTGCTTTTACATCTCTGTATGTTTCTTACTATTATATCATGTGATTTTATAAAACATTTAAGAAAGCTTAATTTGTTTCTCGTTCCCTTATTCTGATTTGGATGTTTCTAGTTTGTCGCAGTAAAATGGAAGCTTGTAAGCAAAGCATTACTGTAGAATAAGATATCCTTCTTCATATTGATTTTATCCTTAAGGTCAGCAGAGTGGAGACACTCATTGGATCTCACTTTAATAATTACATTTTATTGGCCTTGGGTCGATGCACTAATATTTCAATTCTAAAGCACATTAGGGAACTTCACAAGTATCAAAAGACATTTCCATATTCTCTTCAAATATTTCTATTTTAAATAGGAGAACCTATTACAACAGATAAAAAGAATGATTTAGTTAAATAAAATGAGTACATCTTAGCCTAGATTTCCAAGGAATACAGATGAGGAAGATTTGTTATTTACATTCTCATGTTTGGCTATGAAATTTTGGAAGCAGAGGTTGTGTACATTAACATTTTATAGAGCTCAGTTCTCTTTCATCTCTCTGCCTCTTCCAAATTTCTGCTTTTGATAGCCCTTACTTTGTACAACTCATGGAATGCTGGTGAGATATAAAGAAAGGGCTTCTTCTTGATTTCTTTTAGAATTTTTAGATAAAGAACGAACTAATAACTTTGTTTTATTACCATTTGGATACACATAGAGTTTTGCAGTATTCAGGGTTTTTTGCTTAAACCTTTTATAATCTTTTTTTTTCTTCTTTGTTAACACATTTTTAAATTTTATTTATTTACTTATTTATTTTTATTGGTTATGATTATTCATAATCTTACATAATATTTTGAAAATTAAAAAGATAGCCATGAATCTAATACTGGAAATTATTTGATTCTACACAATTTCCTGGTGATTTTTATACAACAGCTAATAATGATGAAAAGGCTTAGGAAATAAATAATCCAGAAATATGTAACTAAGAAGAAAAACATGTAATTATTACAATAAAATTATGACTTTTTGGTGAACCACCTCTTTGGGGAAATATTATTTTGGTATAGTTTTAAAAGGTCCTGATGGGTGTCATTTCCCAAAATTATAAAAGAATGGATTTCTTTACATCAGTACTACATCCTTGAAGGTTATATCTGAAAGTCTGCTTGAAAATAATGTCAAAGAATTTATTTTACCTTCTTAAGTAGAAAAATAAATTTTAACAATAATAAGCAATGATATTGAATTATTTAGAAAATATTTTTAGTATTCAAGTAAATTGGCAGTTTCCTTACAAAAGGAGAAAAAAAAATGTACTTCATTTTATACCTTCATGTACACAAAGCAAATGAATTTTAATATTGTAAAGATAATTGAAAAATTATAATTTTGATTGCTGTACGCTTTACCAAATTGTCCCAAATCTGATAAATTGAAAGCCAATCCAGAAAAGGCGGGACTAAATTACCAGCAGCTCTGTGACTTTTAAAAATGTATTTCTGAAGACAGTATAGAGATTAATCTGAAAGCATTCTGTTTTACTTAAGATTTTCCATGATATTTACATGAAAACTGATGGCATTGGATTTTACTGCTAATTGGCACCTCCAGCAGAGTTAATAGCAGTCTGAATGCGCATAAGAGGAATAATCAAAGGGAGACAACTGCTTTGCTTTATGTTAGTGCAATAAAAAATATTTTCAAAAATAGGAAAAAATAAAGATTGCTAACATTAGTAAAACATGATAGACTGTACCCTCTCAAGATACCCTTGTTTCCACTTTAAAAAATGACATTACCCAAACACAGTCTTAGAATATATTTTCTTCTTTTATTTTATGTCTTATAAACCTGCCATGCATACAAATGTAGCCAGTGGTAGACAACTCAATATGTTAAATAATTTAACACTCCCACCACTCCAGAAAGCCAAGGGAAAAACTGGAGAGGAGTGAAATGAAAGGAACCATATGTATATATGTATAGAGTACTTTATAGTTTTCTAAAATATTTCATTTTGGTTTATTGTAAACTAAAATACAAAAATTAAAAAAATAAAAAAGCAAGAGTTAAAATTGTTTATTTTCTTCCTCAGGAATTTATACATTTGGACTATTTGCTACAGATATCTTTGTAAATGCTGGACAAGTAGTTACAGGGAATCTGGCACCACATTTTCTTGCCCTGTGTAAGCCCAACTACACGGCACTTGGTTTTTTTAAAGATGACCGGTAAGGGGATCTCAACCCTTGACTTGGTGTTGTCAGCACCACGCCCAGCCAGTGAGCGAACCGGCCATCCCTATATGGGATCCGAACCCGGGGCCTTGGTATTATCAGCACCGCACTCTCCCGAGTGAGCCACTGGGCCGGCCCTCTTAAAGTTTTTAAGCCAAGTTACTTCTATTCCTCACTGCCTGGACTTTTCAAAAAATCCTATTAAGAAAATTTTTATAGAGTTAAGGAGCCAATTCTGCCCTATCCATTTTTTCTTCCACTGCCCATCCAAGTCTCCACTCTGATTTCTGTGAAATTTCTGTTATGACTCCCTCCTTGCCCTTTCACTGGGCTCCCCAACTCTGTTGCCCTAATTTCCACTGATTTCTCCAGCCCATCAGCTGTGCTTTCACCCTCATATTCTAAGATACCCCTGGGCCTGATATGAAACATGCTAACTCATGCATATTCTTTCCTGTTCCCTAAGTAGCTTGACTACACATTCCACCTCTACTAGAATATGAAGCACTCAGCCTTAAAATGAAAATTTAAAACTTCAGTGAATCAGAAGTCACAAAATGCTTTTCATTCATTGCCATCACCTCTAAATCTGACATTTATATTTGTATCTGAGTATGAATTGCAAGTACATCTGCATATAAATATGTAATCAAGCCAATGATGGGAGACATGTTTTAAAATGCCCCCGACCCCAAATACTGTTACATGAATATTTTAGCACTAAGCATCTAATAGATGTTAGATTTTGCTGTGTAACCAGCATTTGCCAATGGTGGTAAATATGCTACTATGGTATAATAAAAACACTTGGCCTTATCACTCTGCCCTAATAGTGTTTCAGAGACATGGCTATGGGAGAAGGCATTATTCTTTTATGCACTGGGAGAATCTTAACATCTTGTTTTGCTTCTGCTCTGCTGGCCACCTGTATGCATTTGTTTCAGCA